CCTTATTAGAGAGTCACTAGGTCCAACATACACTCCAAAGAAGGAGATTACATGAGGTCATGAATAACAAAGGGCAGGGGTCATTAGAGGCTACCACACTAACATATCAAATTAACTTGTATGTTATAGGCATCTCAAACTGAAAGCATTAAAAAAGGATAACATCCTCCTAACGACTTCTCAAACTTACTACTCTCCTGGCCTTTCTAGTGTGAGATAATGGTGTCACGGTACATCTCTATTCTGGGATAAACCTGGGAGTGACGTTTGATTTCATTTTTACTGACTGACTACACCCAATATATAAGTAACTCCTATTGCTCTTATTTCCAAATTGTATAAGTTTGATGATTTTCCATCATTACCTTTGTTAAAACTGTAGTCTAATCCAGTATTAATTCTTGTCTGAGCTACTGCATTAGCCTCCAACCCAATTAGTATCTTTTTTTCTATTTTTGTTCCACTATAGTCCATTCTTCACACAGTAGTCAAGGTGAACTTTTAAATAATGCATGTTATCTTATTAGTACCTGTATTTGTTTCCTGGGGCTGCAGCAACAAATTGCCAAAAGCTGGGTGGCTTACAAAAACAGAAATTTATTTCTCCCAGTTCTGGAGGGTGGAAGTCTAAAATCAAGGTATTGGCAGGGCCACACTGCTTCTGAAGTCTCTAGGGGATGGTGCTTTCTTGAATCTTTCTAGCTTTTTGTGGTTATTGGAGATTTTTGGCTTTACTTGGCTTGCAGACACATCACTCCAATCTCTGCCTTCATCATTATACGGCCTTCCTCCCTGTGAGTGCATCTCTTTCCTTATAAGGACACCAGTAATTGGATTTTGGGTCTACTTTGATTCGGCATGACCTCTTCTTAACTTGGTAACATCTGCAGAGACCCTATTCCCAAATAAGGCCATATACATAAAGGTACTTAAGGTTAGAAGTTCAACATATCTTTTGGATGACACAGTTCAACCCATGACAGTCCTTTAAACTCAGAATGACTTTTCACTACAAATAAAATACAAGTCTCTGCTTGAATTGGCCCCAGCCTGTTCTTCAGGCCTTACCTAGTAACACACTCCCTACTGTCCAACCTGCTTCAGCCATTTTGACCTTTCTGTCACACGCCTGTGCCCAGCACCTTCTGGTCTCATGGCCTTTGCATGTCCTTCCTGTTCCTGGGATGGTCCCCTTCCCCCACCCATATCTACATGTGATTGTCTCCATCTCATGACTTATGTCCCAAGTTATAATAGGCAAGACCTTGGAGACATTAAAACAGTAACTTCTTTACCACATAACTCTTTTCCCTCTATTCCTTTTTCATTTCCCTCACAAAATTTATCACTAAATGAAATGTATCACCTACTTGTCTGCTAGTGTTTTGCCTGGGAAGAACATAAGCTCCATGCAGGAAGGGTCTTAAACTGTTATGCTCTCAATAGTTAGGACAGTGTGTGGCAAATGTTGGTAAATGAATTTATATACCCACTGAAACCTCAGAGACAAAGTTGTTATATAGAACAGCTAAAGAGATTCTGGAAAGTAGTTGATACCAAATGTTGATTTATCTTTGACCTTCTAAACTTGTGCAAGGGGCAATAATTTATGTGTAGTGTTTCTAGATGCGGTAGGAAGAACACTCAGTCTTAGAATCCAATTCTTAGAAGAACCCCAGGAAAGGAAAGCTGTATGCTAAGTGCTGGGGAGCTAAGAAGCAACCCGATCAGACAGGCATAAAACAACGTAGATTCTCTTTGAGATAGTGCAATGCCTGCAATAAAGCAGCAGTAGCCTCAGATAGTGAAAATCTTTGAGTTGAGTGATTGCAGCACATACCTGGTTGAAAACCATGTAAATATCACATGGAAAGAATTTCAGTTCTTGCATGGACTCTAAGCACATGCTGCCAAAGAATAACAGCGCTGTATGAAAGCAGACCATTGGATATGGATCACATGTGTTTTTGTTTGCTCATCTATTTGCATCAGAGTTCTCAGAACTAACTCTTTTTTACTTACTATTGACGGTTTCAAATATTGTCATTAGAAGAATGGAAACTAATTTTCTAGCTGCGTGACCTTGGGAAAGGTGATTTGTATAGAAAACAGTAGCATGTACCTGACTGAAAATTTGTAAATATTAACAAAATGGTTTATGTAAAGTACTTAGATACATGCCTGGCACTAAGTAAGTGCACAACAAAGGTTAATAGTTGTTGTTAATAAATATTGAAAACAGAATAGGCAAAATTAGATATGAATATATAATTACCACAATTATTTATCTACAAGTGCTAGTGATAAACTAGAGTATTCCTTTTAAGCTTCTGGTTTCTGCAGTATTGTCCTAGCTTCCTGTTACTGCTGTAACTTATCGCAAACTTTGTAGCTCAAAACAATGCAAACTTATTCTCTTTCAGCTGTGAAGGTTAGAAGTCTGAAGTGAGTTTTATGGGGCTATAGTCAGGGTATCTGCAAGGCTGGTCTTTCTAGGTGCTCCAGGGTAAATCCATTCTTTTACTCTTCCAATTGCTAGTGGTTACTGACATTCCTTGGCTCATGGCTTCAACACTCAAATCTCTGCTTCTGTTATCACATGGCCTTCTTCCTAACTTTAATACTCTTGTCACCCTATTATAAGGACCCTTGTGATTACATTGAACCTACTACCTTGGAATCCAGGATAATCTCCCCATGTCAAGATCCTTAAATGAATCACATCTGCAAAGTGCCTTTTCCTGTGTAAGGTAACATATTCAATTATCCTGGGGACTAGGATATGGGTATCTTTAGGGGCCATTATTCTCTCTTACACAAATGCATTCATTGTCTTTTGATTTTAACAATTATTTAAAAACAAGTACAAAGTGTTGCGTTGGTTTTTGTTTCTTTTATAAGAGAATTCTGTTGACCTATTGACACATAGTACAGACAAATGCTTATATTTCTTTTTCTGGCAATTTTGGTGAGTACTAAGAACCTTTATAAAATATAACCAGTTTTACTGTGCTTCATGGCCTCAGAACTGATTTTTCTGTTTTATAGAGCTAATTATTCTAACTAGTGATTAAACATGTGATATGGTGGTACCAGTCATGCCACAGATCACTTGGCAATGTCTTGGGGAAAGGTTCTACTGGCATTTAGTGGGTAGAGGCACCATGGATACCTCTAACCATTCTGCAATGCACAAGACAACCCTCCAAAATGAAAAAATTATCTGGTCCCAAATGTTAATAGCACTAGGTTTAAGAATTCCTGTCGTGGGGAACTTGAAAAAACACTATTGTTTAGATCTTTGCTTTTCAAAGTGTGGTCCAAGATGGTTTCGGCACCATCTGGGTCATCAGTCTCTTTGAAAGCTCCCCAAGTGATCCCCAGATGTGGCCAAGGTTGAGGAGCACTGCCTTCCTTAGCTTTTTCCCACTATCCTACTTTCCTCCGAAGTTGTTATGGCTGTGGGTATATTGAGTTTAACTGGAAAAATAAAACTTTTAAAGACTTTTTGTTACATATATTAAACATCAAATATTGGAATTCTAATTAATGTAAAGCCACTTTTTCTTGAGAGTTGCAGTAAGTTTCTTCAATATGTTGAATTTTAAACATACAGAAATGTGGTAAGGGGCAGGTTTATCCAACTCCGTATTAAATATAAGGTGTCCCAAAAATATATGCACAGGTTGAATGATTATAAAGTCAGTGTTTATTAATATACAGGTTTTTTTTTCAAAATTTAAAAGAATCTACAGAAATTAATACTTTTTTTTTTTTTNTATAGAATGTCCCCCAAAAATGTGTACACACTTTGAATAATATAAAGCCAGTGTCTATTAACATAGAGTTCATTTTCAAAATTTTTAAAATCTACAGAAATGAATAATTATTTTATTTTATTTTTTTTTTTTGGTCAATGCCTGTTTTCAAACTGATGACTTTTCTGGTCCAGGCACAGCAGATAATGTGAAGCAATGGAATTGCAAACATCAAGAATCATTTCAATCGGTATTTGTGCACCCTCAATTTGTCAACTGTTGCTGGTTTTGTACCATAAAATTTATCTTTTATGTATCCCCACAAAAAAAGTCTAGTGGGTAAATTTTCTTTGTTCAAAGCTTAGGCTGGCTTCACACGTTATTTCAAATCAGTTAAACCTGAGAAGGAGTGAAAAATAAGTGAGCCATCAGCTGTTGAAGTGTATATACACAGGGTATCCCCCCAAATGTATATATGCTTTGAATAATTATAAAGGCAGTGTTTGTACTTCAACTGTGTTTTCAAATGTCCAGTAGCATTTTAGGATTAATTTCCTTTGTTCAAAGCTTAGTCTGACTGAAAAGAAAGAAACATCGTTTGAGCTATCAGCTGTTAAATTGTGTGTAAGTGTTTTTGGGACACCCTGTATATTGTCAGGAAGAACTCACAAAGGAGGGCAAATCCTCTCAGCAAGTATCATGTTTGCAGCTCACAAGAGTGATGATCGAATATATTTGCTTTTCCTCCCTGGCTTTGTCACTTGCCTCATCCAATCTGCTGACTTTGGGACCCAAGAAATTTCTTTGGTATGAGCTTTTGCAGCTGAATTACAGTGGAAGGCGTGATGGATACAAAAAGTGTAAGAAAGGTGAATTAGAAAAGTGGCAGATGGAAAGTGTGTAGTGTTTTTATTTATGCTCTCTCTTCTGGTGCACAGTGCACTTTCCATTTTAGCTAGTCAGGTTCATCCATTTACTGGATTTGCTCCTGTCACCAAATATGTGTGAGTTATAGTGAGTTTTATAGAATTTTCTGCTAGCATATGGAATATTTCCATTTCCCCAATAATTCCCAGTAACTTTAGTTCATAATTATTACACATAGTTAATTCAGTTAAGGCTATACTTATCAACATAGCCCTGGAAATGTTCAGTGGCTTTAGAACAATAAAGGGTAATATGCATCCAACTAAGCACCAATGCTTACTGCTAATCTTACATTATTGTATTTGATTTTTGCAGTAATCCTTTGAGAGGAAGACGGTTTCCTTGACCACTTTACAGATGAGAGGATAGAGGTATAGAAATTTTAAGTATTATTAATTTGGCCAGTTTGCACAGCTGGTAAGAAGTTGAACTGGACTTTAAACACAAGTAGTAGCTCTGAGTGTGTGCATTTAATGACCTTCATTGTACATCTCTAATGTCTGCCTTCTCAGACAAGTATCAGTTAGTGCCAGGGACTTTCTAAGCTATAGCTGATTACACTAAGAAACTCTAGGCTTTGCAAAGGGTGACTGTATAAATTTCAAATGACCTTGCAAGATATTGAAGGCTTTTTCTAGGAAGCTTTGTCCCAGCCACCATTCCCCTCAGATGGGTAGGTATTCCTCTGCCCTTCCAAAGCTGAGAGAAAAGCCTAGTGTGTAAAAATATATTTAGTTCTTGATGATGATCTTATGGAAATAGACTTTTTCTATACATCCTTGCAATTCCACTGATCTCTTATTTAACTGCCTTGAAGTTGTCTTTATATTGTTGTTCATATGGTTTCTGATGAAAACACCATGATACTAAGCACTAACTAGAATGCAAAATCTAACCAAAGGTATCTTATTGTAATTTCTTCTTCTTTAAACATTTGTTTTATTGATTTTAGAGAGAGAAAGGGAGAGGGAGAGAGAGAAAAAAACATAAATGATGAGAGATAGTCACTGATCAGCTACCTCCTGCATGCTCCCTGCTGGGGATCAAGCCTGCAACCTGGGCATGTGCCCTGACCAGGAATCAAACCATGACCTCCTGGTTAATGGGTTGATGCTCAACCACTGAGCAACACTGGCCAGGCTGTAATTTCTTCTTTAAACATTAAAAAAGAGATCCAGAGGCATAGAAGCATGGAACAGACTGAGGAATCTCAGAGTGAAGGCAGGGGTGGGTAGGTGGGAAGAGATTAACCAAAGAATTTATATGCACATATGTATAACCCAGGGACACAGACAATAGTGTGGAGAAGCCCTGGAGTGGGGGGTGGGGAGTGCAGGGAAAAAGGGGTCAACGGGGGAAAAAGAGGACATCTGTAATACCTTCAACAATAAAGATAAATTAAAAAAAAAAGACTTTATCTCAAAGCATTCATTGTCTAACTTTATTATAATCAATAAGTACAGTTATAAAGATCTGGAACCTAAATGTTCCCTTTCCAGTCAGGCTATATAGGAATGAGTGATCTTCTGGTTAGTATTGTGTTAAACAAACAAACAACAAATTCTAACTGTGTCTGGGTCAGTTTGTCAAGAAAATTACCCTTGTGACTTAAAAGTTATTTTTGATTATGTAAACATATATCTTTCGCCGCTTACCAATCTGTACTGAATATATTGTCAAGTGTATAGTTTTATTTTCACTGGTGGTTTTTCAAATGCACCATGCACTTTTTTGGTTCTTCTCTATTTGTTATTTGCGGCCCATCGCTTTTTAAACCCTTTCCAACAAAGTCAGTCCAAATGTTACCCTCCGAGGATGTTTTCATGACCTCTCCAGGTAGCACTGAGCCCTTTCGATAGACTTGAGTATTCTTGTCTTGTATCAACTATCCCATTGCTATAATTGTTGATATTCATGTCTTTTCCATGTGGTCCTGGGGTACTGTGATCATTCCCTAATGATTTTGTATCCCCAGTACTTAGAACAGCATCTGAAACATGGTAGATATTCAATCATATTTTAAAATAAATGTATAGAAAAAAATAAATATATAGATATCTTCATAATTTGAGAGTGGTTGATTTTCCTCAAGATAATTGTCATAGGTTCACAATATAAGAAACAAGTTTCCCAGGGACTCATTTTAAATATCGTGCTTTTTTGGTAGCTTTTAGTTGCAGAGTCTGTCAGAGCCTCTGGTTATCCTCTCCATAGGGAATCTATTCCACAACTTCAACATGCATTGCATTATGTAAATTGTGCACTTGGCAAAATACTTTGTTTCATGCACAAATGGATACTTTAATTATTTTTTGATTAGAGTGAAGAAAATGATGGGTATAATCTTGAGTTTAGGAATGCAAAAACTTCGAGGATTAAATAAAAAATAATGGATCAATTTGGGGGCATAAATAATTATTACATACCAGCCATGAATGGAAAGAGCTAGCATTTGAAAATGTCTACAGTTAAATGTCATCAAATACTGTGGTAGACACCGTAAGGACAATTATTTTATTTAAAGGTTGTAAAACTTTGAAGTAGATATTTACTATATCAATATGTTGGGGAAAATAGGTCAGAAATGAAATAAACTAAACTAAAATAAATATGGCACATATTTATGTCTGTGCTTTATGGATGAACAACTGGGACTTATAGAGACGAAATAGCTTGCCTAACCCAACATACACTAAGACTATTAATTCAGTTCATTCTCATTCTAAAACCAAATCTCTGCTTTATGATGTAAGTGGAATACAGCAGATGAGCACAGATTCCCTCCATTTCCCTTCCAAAGGTACCTACCATTAAGAAACAAGCAGATGACACTTATTTTCCTCCTTAAATTTTCTGATGATGCTCCTATTTGTCTAATTAAGAGACTGGCCAATATCATCAGCAGCATCTCAATTCTAAAGCAGTTATCTTTTTACCCTTCCAACACATAAACTCTGTTGATTGTGTCCTTAAAAATCTTTGCTTCCTTCATTGATCCAACTCCTTCCTGATTCACATTCCCTTTAATAGTTAATTTTCTCACTTTTTCTCCATTTTGATTCCCTTCACCTGTCTCAAAAATATTTGTAGGCTCCAGAGTTGAAAGTATAAACTTTCTTTTCTTTGTTCTCCATATTTTCTTCCCTGTTTATCCTAATCTATGTCTTTAATTTCAGTTACAATTACAATGTTGTTATCTTCCATGTCTGTACTGAGCTTCTGGCTACTAATTTCAATAAGCTACAAGGCAATTCAAACAGCAGATTCCATAGGCAGTTTAAAATTTATGTGCCCCAAATGCAATTTTGTATATTTCATCACCCTCATTGCCAAAAATGTCTTCTCTATTTCTACATATTGGTAAATTGTATCATAATAGACCTAGTCACTCAAACCATATGCCTTCTGAAGCTTCCAGTTTCAAAGCTTCCTTCTAATGTCACTTTAAAAAATAGCAGTAAACTCAATTTATTCCCAAATCTGTTCTGCTCTCCCAGCATACACCACTACTGCACTAAAACTGACCCTCCTTCTCATCTGCCTGTACCACTGGCTGCTAACAGTTTCTTCCACATTCAAACTTTTCTTTCTGAAACAGTTCAGATTATTCACCTGTAAGCATCCACTGGCTCTTTATTTGACTGTACTGCAAAGCACGTGAAAGGGGGCAGATCAGAATCTCGAGTGAGTTATTATGCGTATTCTGAGGAAATGTATTCAAGATACATACTGTTTCCATGACTAGGAAAAGGTAAAGAAAGTGAAGGTGCATAAAATGCTATTGGATGGTGAAGTTAGAATATAAGTGAAAAAGACTTTAGGGAAAAGCGCCAAGTTTCTACTTAGCGCATCTGACTAAATCCTACACTGACTTTTTTCAGCTTCTGTCGCTACAGCCCCCAACCTGTGGTCTACTTACACTTCATTCCTGAAACCTGTCACTTCATCTCCTTGCTTTAATAGTTTCCTATTGCTGTGGTAATAAATTACCACAAAGTGAGTGGCTTAAAACAACCCCAAATTTTATTTTTGAAGTTCTGGTGGTCAGAAGTCCTGAATGCATTGGATTCACTTAGTTAAAATCAAGGAATTGGCATGCCTGCCTTTCTTCTGGAGCATCTAAGGGGCAGTCTGCTTCCTTACTTTTCCAGCTGCTAGAGTCCATAAGCATCCTTGGCACATGGCCCATTCCTCCACATTCACAGTGCGTCACTCCAGTCTTTGACCTTAGTTTTCATACTTAAATTTCTCTCTCTGAATCTGACTCTGCTACTGCCCTTGTGTATGGATGTTTGTGATTATATTGGGCTCAGGCAAATCCTAATTTCCCATCTCAAAATCTTTAATTTAAACCACATTTGCAAAACCCCTTTGCCGTGTAAGGTAACATATTCACAGGTTCCAGAAATTCAGACACGGGCATGATTGGCGGTGGACATTATTCCTTCTACCAGATTGACAGTTTCACTTATCCTTTGCCCTAGCCCCAGCATTTTCTTTCCCTTAGAAAATCTATCCCTTATGACCTAGCTGAAATGCTTCTTCCTTTGGAGACCTTTCCCTAATACTTCACCGGACCCAACCTGGAGCAGAATTAATGATACCTCCCTCTACTCCCTCAGCACATTATACTCACCATATGGCAATAAGGCCAGTCTAATTAAGTAGGTAAGCATTTGTCTCCTTTATTGGTCTGTGAGCCTTTTTTATTAGAGTGCATTACATTGTCTCTGTGTCCCCATTGCACCATAGCACAGCACCTTGTAACTAGTATATGCTTAATAAGTGTTTATCAAATGATGAGTTTGTATGCCAAAATTCAACTGCATATAATAGCAGCCACATTCTGTCTTTAATTCATTCATTTTTTTCAGGAAACATTTATTGAGCATTGGATATAAAAAGATGATTAAAACACACATTTATCCTGGAGGGACTTCAAGTCTGGTAGAATAGAAAAACATATAATTAAACAGATAAGCTAATAGTGTGGGGCAGGGTGTAAAGAAAACTAGTACATATATATATGCATATACACAGAAATTCACAGGTGAGAGAATGTGAGTTGAATTCATCATAGTGTAAGTGTGGTGAAGGCCTGGGACGGGGAGTGGGTGCAGGGTAGAAGAGGCCAATGGAGGAAAAAAGAGGACATCTGTAACACTTTCAACAATAAAGATAAATTAAAAAATAATAATAATTATACAATGGCAACAACAATCACCTGCAATAAAAACTAGAATGGTAGCTTTCATTTATTTAATTTGTTCTTGGTGCCAGCACTGTTCTAGGCACTATGATATATGTACTGCAATAGCACCAATTTTGCAATGAAGGAGCTAGTCATAGAGAGGTTATTTGCCCCCAATCACACAGCTCATAGGTGGCAAATCTGGGTTAAGAATCCATCGAAATGTGTACAGGAGACAACCAATCGGTGTTTCCCTCTCACATTGATCTCTCTCCCCCCCTCTCTCCCTGCCTCTCTCCAATCAATACAAACATATCTTAGATTGAGGAATAGAAAAAGAATCCAGACAGAATAATTGCATATAGCCACCGTGATATTATCATTTTGCATAAGATTTAGTAGTGGCTTATGTGAAGCCAATTGGTGAGTGGTATTATTAACAGGAAATAGGCAAATCATTTCAGATTCATTCACCTAGAAATGAAAGCTTCTTGAAATTAGGTCATTGATAGTGTGAACTACTATGTGACAATAAGTAAACACATGGGAACCTCAGTAAATGTTTATATATAGTTTGCATTGTGATTTCTGGGTAAGAATTTTAATAATGCAACAAACAAAGCAAAGCTTGGATGTCTATGACTAGAAATATTTAATTTGTCTTTCAGTGTAAAATACAACAAATTTCTTCAAAGAGGTTTGTAAAGGTGATTGTAGATTGACGAAGGCATTAAATCTTTGAAATGCTATGTAATTCTTTTTTGTTTTCCCTGATACACAAAGTTTCAAGAGATTCAATTAAGGATCTTGATGTTACCAAATTGATGCTTTCCAAACCAATTTAATTTTAAGAAATGGAATTACAAACTAGCCTGTATGCCTTATAGAAATGAAATGAGTAAGGAAATAGTATTTCAACCAAGAGTAAAGTAATAAGATAGTTAAGCTGGAAGGTCTTGCAATATATATTTGGATCCTGGAGTTTCTTGGGCAGCACTGATTAAACTCATGCTAAGAGAAGAACTGATTCTCACTGCTAACCTGAAGGCTAAAGATATCAGCTTGAAGATTTCCTGCTGCTCCAGTTAGTATGGCTGCAGGGAAATGGGATTTGGGTTTTAGGAGTGCATGACTTAGGTTTGCATGTTTTGTTTTGTTTTTAAATGTCTTTATTGATTTCAGAGAGAGAAAGAGAGAGAGAGAAACATCAATTATGAGAGAGTCATTGATCGGCTGCCTCCCGCACGCCCCCTGCTGGGGAATCAAGCCCGAAACCCAGGCCTGTGCCCTGACCGGGAATCGAACCTCGATCTCCTGGATCCTGGGTTGATGCTCAACCGCTGAGCCATGCCATCTAGGCTCAGGTTTGCATGTTAATGTGGCAGTTTGGCAGATATGGCTGATGATTCAACTTTTCGGACTGGTTTTCATTTATGTCTTTATTCACATAAAGGTCCTTGGTTAAAAAACTGAAACAGGTTATTATTTAAAGGAGCTGGAATTAAAATAGCTTATTTGCAATGCTTAAAAATTCACTAACTTTCTGACTGAAATGATAATGGTAACACTTTATTGCAAGTGAATGGATTTTGTTTTGTGAATTAAAATATGTTTTAAAAGACTTTTATTAATATGAATTTATCATTTAAAAATATTCAGAGATATCTGAGCTCTAGGAGAGCAAAAAAAAAAAAAAAAACCACACAAAAAAAAACACAGTGTGACTATCAAATCACCATTTCAGCTTCCTCATCTTTAATAAAATCATAGTGATGGAAAGCTGAGTATGAGCAGCCCTCAACTGTCTTGCAGAGAAACTTGTCCTGTCATGGATTGACAGTGTGTTTGAACTGTGATCCCACTTGCTACTTTTTGAAATTCAGTCTCTCAGCTCTGCACTTTCTTATAACAAATAAAGAGGGATGATTTTCTGAGGAAGACAAAGCTCATTTCAGCTAATTTCAAATGAAATATTCCCCCCTTTTGAAATAAAAATACTAGGCTAGTGTCCTTTCTAGTGTCCTTCTGAGAGCCTTGTTAAGAGAAGAAATGATGTATCTTCCTATAGATTTCATAGACAGTGTACTTTCTTTCAACAGAGACACAGTCTTAAATTCTCTTGAAGTATCTTAGAGTTTTTTTTGAAACAGAATTGTAAAATTATAATTAAATCTTTAGAGGCATAGAATTTATGATTTCTTCTCTATTGGAAAGAGTGATACTGAATAAAAGCGTATTATATTGCAGCATAGAACATTAAAAAAATCAAAATTTGGCAATTTATATTAAAAATAAATTGTTAATGAGATAGTCATTTTGAAGGGATTGTTTCCACTTATATAAATACAATTAGATTCTCTAAATAAAGAGAAACTTTAAACTGTAAATGACTATAAGATTAAAAAAACATTTTGGGAGTCTTATAGAGACATAATTTTGGCATTACTGGTTTTGATGTAACTTAGGAACCACAGTGTATGGGAACATAGAATACACAGAACCTGTTCATATTCTTCCCTTTTGTGAAATTCGTTGACCCAATTGTGCATGATCAGAATTCCAATAAAAATATTATAATATAGATATGTGTTTTTTAAAATATATTTTTCTTTTTTATCTTTGCTTTAGGGAACAACCTTTAAGAGCTGAAAGATGAAAGCTCCGATTCCACATTTGATTCTCTTATATGCTACTTTTACTCAGAGTTTGAAAGTTGTGACCAAAAGAGGCTCTGGTAAGCAGTGTTCCTTCATTTTCTCTCATTTTTATGGCTTGAAGTGATGCTGTTATATTTACACATGTGCCATTTGTGGAGGGATTGAGAATTAATTGGAATTTGTATTGTGGAAATATTGTAGATATCTCTTCAAATGAGTAGAGCATACTCAGAGGGAATTAGAAAGGTAGGAATAGGTTGAAAAAAAGGTGGATTATTTCATTAGTTACTATAAATTGGAATGGATTCAATACCAAAAGCTTGCAGTTTGATTTTATTTTATCACACAATTTTCAACATTTTTAAATGAGTCCCATTTTAACTTTTGCATGGAAATATCATGATTTTTTTTCATGTTGACTTTCACTGTTACTGTTTCAGTGTCATCTATGATTACCAGACTCTTTTTAGGGTTGTACTTCAGTTGACTTGCTGAATTATTTTGCAAGTATTTAAAGAAAGCACCTGAGTTATTAAATAAAATGTCATGGGGAAGCATCCTAATAGGTTAATAGGGAATATAAAGATAAAGTAGAATGGTAATATGAAAGGACTGCTAAATGGAATAATGTTGAAACTTATGGAAAACTTTACATGTTACCAGACATCTTGGTTTTTAGTTGACTGTTGATACTTGGAGTTAGTGAAATGTTCAAAGCAATTGAATAAATAGTGTTATCAATGTGAAGCTGCATCTTATATAATAAGTTACTGATAGCACTCACATTTTATGTGGGTTGACAGAAGTTTTGAAGCTATAGCTTTTGGATATAGTGGAAGAAGCAATGCACTGGGTTTAGTTGCTAAAACTAGAATGTGTTATCTATAAGCTCTAGAGGGACAGTGGGGGGAAAAGATAATATACAAGAAAGTGACTGCAGGGTGTTGGTACATCAAGAACTACACAAACAAAAGTATCTGGAATTCAGAAAGGAGAGGGAATGAAAGGGGTGAGATGGTGCTGCAGCAACCATTTTCAGTCCCTTAGGTTATGAGGCTTCAAACTTACATTGATTATATAATGAAAAATGTCACATACCAGGGAAGTAGAGAGTAAGTCTACTCTCATGAGCCCCACCTTAGGAGTAAGTCTGAAGAGGGACTGAGAAGTGCTTTGTGTGTGTACCAAGGGATGGTGCAGGGTCAAGAGTAGAAGGAGTTTTACTGAGGCTATTTGCTCTAGAACTTTTTGGTTGTTGTATAGCTGTTGTATCTGCCATTATACAGATGTAGGTCATGTGAAAAAATAGTGTTTCTATGTTTACACATTATTTTATCTGTTCTTGGTGTGTCCTTTTGAATGAGAGGAAACCCTAGGGCAGGATTATGATATAGTGGTTAGTGATTTGTTTTTGTTGGTTGGGACTTTGAATGAATTACTGGTAAGTAGCTGATATCTTGATTTCTTTGTCTGCTACTTGCAAGGAAAGTTAAGCATGCTCATGAGAGGGTAGAAGGGGGAGAAAATTGTGATGAAAGCTGATAATTTCTACAACAGTGATAATTTTAGAATAGTAAGTTACATTAAAAGTTCTTAACATGAATTTTTGAGATACTGGCCCCACAGAAGAGAAACATTCTTTTGTATAAATATTATAACACAAACTATCAAAAATAGAAATGTTGATTGAATCCTAAAAATTTCATTTTTCTGATTATTATACTTGATCATGTAAAATTGTTTTTCTCCATTCTCTTTGTATATGTTAGATCTATGATTTATTTATCAAAATGCAAATGTGACTTTTTTCCATCATCCAATTATTGTGGCAGCAGCTCCATTCTATATAAACTCTAATTTGGGGAAAAATGTTTTATTAAATTGGGACTTACTTTGTATGTTTGAGGAGAATGGGAGCAGGGCTAGAAATGTGGGACAGTTGAAACATTCATACCTCCTTCTGCCCTAGAGACTTGCAAAAAGTCAATGACCTGTCTCAAATTTAAGTTTTTATTTTAATGATATAATTATTTTAGGAGGGTGGTAATAAAATGCTGCCCTAAGTTTGACAGAAGTTCTGAGACTTGGTTCTCTTTTATTTATGAATACGGTTGTCATATAGCTACTTAATACTTCCCAAACCTTATGTGTTTTCTGTTTCAAAATGTAAAAATGACAAGGTAGGTACTGAGATTTAGCGACATGTTTGATTTGGCTACTTTTCTGTATAATATGAATTAAGATAGCTTCCCTCAGTATCTATGTTAAGACTTAGCTGGATGGAAGATTGTTTGTTTGATTTTTTTAATGTTAAATATGCAATTTGGGAATAAATAATATTCCCTTACCCATCTACTATCATAGCTCGCACTCATTTTAGATGATGCCTGTTACCATGACATCTTTATTTAGAGAAGCAGATATGTAGCTTGTTGAAAAGCATCATTACTGATCTGCATAGATCAAGTAGAAGAGGAGTGCACTTGGCACCTTCTCCTTAAGAGATTAATGGCTCAATCTTCATGCCCAGCCCAACCTATAAAACCAGAGGCATCAAGGCCAGGGAAAAAAATCAATTTTTGATGTTCAATCTTGCATATTAACCAAAAGGGATGCTTATCCTTTTTCTTCTTATCATTTAATTCTCTTTTTATTTCCAATTTTGTAAATCATTTTGAAAGGTCACTAAACCTGAGTCAAAACCCAATGCTTTTCATATTTTTTACTAGAATATTAGTTTTAATTCACTGTGACCACTAGAAAACCAGAACTAGACATTTTAATAACCAAGAGCCCATTAAGTATGATTACAATGCACACAGTAATGTTGAACTTTTTATGGCAAGTTAATTGTTTAGACTGTTTACTTCAGTTAAACTCATATGGTCATTCCATAAAAATTTAGAAGTAGGTATTTGTTTCTCATTAACAGAACTAACTTGAAAACAATAGGAGCTCTTGATACACAAACTGGAAGTGGTATTATTTTTTATCACATTGACTTATACCCCCATTGCTATTAATTTAAGGAACAAATTAAATATGAGGCAAGTGAGTCATAATAATATCCTTGATTGAAATAGTAAAAAGCAAACTTCATAATGTTTTATATTAAATATCACTTTAGGTATGTATATGATTATAACAATTACGGATTGAATCTGTGACTCGGGTCCCTCAGGTTAGCTTCTAAAATTTTGCATTGATTTAGAATCAAGGTCTTTAGTTTATGAGAGCAAATTTTAAGCCTTTGCTACAAAATAGATTTTCTCTTGGAACAACTTTATACCTTATTTTTAGTTTTTATAAGCAGCGCTGGAAGAAAAAGACAAAGACTATCAATATTACCTATCCTTCTCAAGTGTGAAGCTTTGTAGCAATTCAGTAAGTAAACATTTGAGTAGCTGTCATTTGTAGAATTCTGTACAAAAACCACATGTAAAGCAAGTGCTTGCCTGGAGAGTCTTTGTATCTCAACCTGTTTAGCAACTGCAGCTTAATGTTCTTGTTGGTTCCTTTGTGTCTGCCTGCTTGCCTGCCTGCCTTCCTTATTTTCTTCCCTCCTACCTTCCTTCC